TCTTGCTTGTCCTTGCCATCCTGCCCACCAGGTGGAGCTTCTGTGGCGGTTGAAGTGCTCGGCGGATTGTCTTGCTTGTCCTTGCCATCCTGCCCACCAGGTGGAGCTTCTTTGGCGGTTGAGGTGCTCGGAGGATTGTCTTGCTTGTCCTTGCCATCCTGCCCACCAGGTGGAGCTTCTTTGGCGGTTGAGGTGCTCGGAGGATTGTCTTGCTTGTCCTTACCATCCTGCCCTTCAGGAGCAGCTTCTTTGGCGGTTGAGGTGCTCGGCGGATTGTCTTGCTTGTCTTTGCCGTCTTTACCGTCTTGTCCCTCAGGCGCAGCTTCCTTTGCAGCAGCGGTCCTCACCGGGTTCTCTTGTTTCATGTCTGGCTCAACGTTGACATCCTCACCACCTTCTTGTCCTTGTTTGCCATCCTGTCCACCAGGTGGAGCTTCTTTGGCGGTTGAAGTGCTCGGCGGATTGTCTTGCTTGTCTTTACCGTCCTTGTCCCACAGGTGGAGCTTCTTTTGCAGTGGACGTGCTGGGCGGATTGTCTTGCTTGTCTTTACCATCCTGCCCTTCAGGGCAGCTTCTTTGGCGGTTGAAGTGCTCGGCGGATTGTCTTGCTTGTCCTTTACCATCCTGTCCCCAGGTGGAGCTTCTTTGGCGGTTGAAGTGCTCGGCGGATTGTCTTGCTTGTCTTTACCGTCCTGTCCCACAGGTGGAGCTTCTTTTGCAGTGGACGTGCTGGGCGGGTTGTCTTGTTTCATGTCGGGCTCAACATTAACATCTTCTTTACCATCTTGGCCCTGCTTGCCGTCCTTACCTTGTTGTCCCCCGGGGGGAGCCTCTTTTGCGGTTGATGTACTAGGCGGATTGTCTTGCTTGTCTTTTCCTTCTTGCCTCTCTGGGAGACCTGCTTTTGCGGTCGAGATGCTTGGTGGATTGTCCTGTTTACCGCCTTTTCCATCTTGTCCTTCGGGAACAGCTTTTGCTGTGGCAGTGCTGGGTGGGTTGTCTTGATTGCCTTTTCCATCTTGCCCCTCCTGGGTAGCTGCTTGCCTACTATCCTTCCCACCTTGACCTTCCGATGGAGCCGGTATTGCAGTCGAAGTGCTCGGAGGTTCATCTTGTTTACCGTCCTTGCCATCCTGGCTCTCCGATGCAGGTGGTATTGCAGTCGAAGTGCTAGGTGGATTGTCCGTCTTGCCTTTTCCATCTTGCCCCTCCTGGGGAGCTGCTTTTGCCGTAGAGGTGCTTGGCGGGTTATCTTGCTTACCTATCCTTCCCTCCTTTACGTTCTGGTGGAGCCAGTATTGCAGTCGAAGTGCTGGGAGGTTTATCTTGCTTGCCCTCTTTGGTCTCCGGTGGAGGCAGTATTGCAGTCGAAGTACTTGGGGGCATGTCTTGCTTGCCCTCCTTACCATCTTTTCCCTCTTTAGGAGCTTGTTTGGCTGTTGAAGTGCTGGGCGGGTTATCTTGCTTACCATCCTTCCCTCCTTTACGTTCTGGTGGAGCCAGTATTGCAGTCGAAGTGCTCGGAGGTTTATCTTGCTTGCCCTCTTTGGTCTCCGGTGGAGGCAGTATTGCAGTCGAAGTACTTGGGGGCATGTCTTGCTTGCCCTCCTTACCATCTTTTCCCTCTTTAGGAGCTTGTTTGGCTGTTGAAGTGCTGGGCGGGTTATCTTGCTTACCATCCTTCCCTCCTTTACGTTCTGGTGGAGCCAGTATTGCAGTCGAAGTGCTCGGAGGTTTATCTTGCTTGCCCTCTTTGGTCTCCGGTGGAGGCAGTATTGCAGTCGAAGTACTTGGGGGCATGTCTTGCTTGCCCTCCTTACCATCTTTTCCCTCTTTAGGAGCTTGTTTGGCTGTTGAAGTGCTGGGCGGGTTATCTTGCTTACCATCCTTCCCTCCTTTACGTTCTGGTGGAGCCAGTATTGCAGTCGAAGTGCTGGGAGGTTTATCTTGCTTGCCCTCTTTGGTCTCCGGTGGAGGCAGTATGGTCAAAGAGGGCAAGCAAGATAAACCTCCGAGCACTTCGACTGCAATACTGGCTCCACCAGAACGTAAAGGAGGGAAGGATGGTAAGCAAGATAACCGCCCAGCACTTCAACAGCCAAACAAGCTCCTAAAGAGGGAAAAGATGTTAAAGAGGGCAAGCAAGACATGCCCCCAAGTACTTCGACTGCAATACTGCCTCCACCGGAGACCAAAGAGGGAAAGCAAGATAAACCTCCCAGCACTTCGACTGCAATACTGCCTCCACCGGAGACCAAAGAGGGAAAGCAAGATAAACCTCCCAGCACTTCGACTGCAATACTGCCTCCA